GTTGGTTGATTGGTGGGTGGGTGGGTTGGTTGGTTGGTTGGTTGGTGGGTGGGTTGGTTGGTTGGTTGTGTGGTTAGTGATTCATATATTTCCCTTAACTTCTTACGCAGGATCACTATGGTCATCATGACAACAGCGTTGCTGCTGATGTAGTATTTCATGCCCAAGTGAAACATCATTGGACATCGTATAGCTTTAACTCCTAAATGTTAAAAGCAAATTGACCACTTTAGAGACGAGCAAAATACTGGGGCGAGCTGATAAAGCATCTCAATATTAGTACGTCTGTGAAATTTAAACATGATTGGATGAAAAGAGCCAAAGTTACAAGCCTTAAAATGTCTTGAAAAATTTACAAAGTGTCACCATACAAGTAACCATACATTCTTTGAAAATTTTCAACACTTTTGAACTAGCCAATCATTCTGGTTCGTTTCGTCCAATCATGTTCAAATTTGTCAAACTTAGTAATGTTGAGATGCTTTTTCAAATGACAAAAACAAATTTTCTAATAAGCTTAGAATTCAAAACGCGCCCCAGTCTTTTGCTCATTTCTAAAGTGACCAATACAGCTATTTCATAAAAGCTTGGGTTTTGTTGCAAGTAGCATTTCAAGCTTAAGATGTATTGTGGATCATATGTAAACAATGTCAGCAGGTATGAAAATATGCCCAGCGGAAAGACATGCAGACAAAGTTTAGCAAAATGCCAAAATTTGTTCTTTCGCTGATTGTATTTATTAACATCGTCCACATCGTCCATAATTCACGTTGCAACGTGCAAGACAATTTACACCAACTCTTTTTTCAAATAGCTGTAAACTTTTGCTCTTTTTAAGCTTTTAAGCTCACTTTAAGTAGTAGTTTGCAAATGATTTAATTCGCTAACGTAGATTGCTATTCTGATTAACACTTCCATCCAAAGAATTTTTGGCCTTCAAATTTTCAAATGTGTGATAACCTCTTACAACCTGAATTAATCAACTCACAGATTCAATTGAAAAACCGAAGAAAACAGAAAAAATGAACTTGGCATCAAGGGAAAGACCTAACAAACTCTACTCGCATGTGATACTAAGTCCGGGAATCGAACCTTAGACTCGAGATGGCGAAAAGTGAGAGTATAACTGCTACGTCACCATTGCTTCCTGCACTACTCAGTATTCATAGACCAAGGTGATTTTTGAATAAGCTATTTTTAAAGGCAATTTTAAATATATCTAAATGCAGTACCTTTTTTATTAAAAATAAATAAAAAAGGACTAAGCTTTATAAGCAAACAATTGTAGAATAACTGACTTGCAACATTTGTAGTAAACTTACACAAAAAGGAACTATATTTTAATTTCTTTTTTGAAAAATTTGGTTCTGAGAGGGAATGATATTTTTTGTTAATGGGGGAAGTGAAGTTTATAAAAAAATTAAACATGGGAACCAAGGAACCCAGGAACCCAGGAACCCAGGAACCCAGGAACCCAGGAACCCAGGAACCCAGGAACCCAGGAACCCAGGAACCGAAGTACCGAGGAACCCAGGAACCCAGGAACCAAGCAAGATAGGAAGCAAGGAAGAAAGGGAGAAAGGATTAAAGGAAACAAGGACGCAACGAAGCAAAGAAACAAGCAAACAAGCAGGGAAGCATGTAAGTAATATATAATCTTTACGGGTTTTTTTTAATTACAAAATGACAAAGCTCAAGGCGTCATATATCAAAAACGTTTCTTTTTATATTTATGTTTGTACTTTGTTTACATTATTGATATTTCATAGTTGTATAAACGTCATTTTGATTACATGGTTTATATAATAAATACGTAAAAATTCTAGTCAGCCACAACGCACTGCGTGTCGGAGACACTGAATGCACCAGTTTCTGTGCCTGCGGTTTTGTAGGTGAAGTTTGGGAAACCAGTCCCATCGGTCTTGTTATTCGTGTTAGCCATTTTATGACAATCATGATATTATGATATGTGATCATTTAACGATTTCTGCGAGGTTATATGAATTTTGGCAACGAATCTCATTATACAAACACTCCTTTCTAACACCTCTTTCTCTTTTACTCCGACGAAGGACAAGCGTCCGAAACGTCAGTAAGTTTTTTCATCTTTTCACGGTGTATAATTTAACCTTTTATCAATATAACTGTTTCATTAGAAACACCGACGCAGCTCACACTAGTTTTTAGCTAGTTATCTCTAAGTAAAACAATGATGTTTTATACAGGATATTTTACTGTCCCAGAAAAGCTTTGTATATTTAATAATGCCTCCTACGACATCACACTCATTAACATATTGGAAGTATAAACCTTGATATCTCCAAGATGAATCAATCAAATCACGTAAAAATATTTTACCATTCAATCATTTCCTATAGTCATAGGCACTTTAAAAGTTTTGCTTAGAATAGCTTCAAGAACGATGTAGCAGGACAATGTAAACGGCAATATAGGCGCACGGTGCATTGTGGTTGACTAGGATTCTTTCAAACTGCATCTATTCTAAACATTTTATCAAAAATAAAGGCAAATTAATCTAAATCAAAGAGTTTATAATATTTGTTCTTAGAACTAGATACATGTTAAATATTCCATGTACAAAGGAGTTTAGGAATCATCCCACGCACTGAACAAAACCGCGTTCAAAACTGCGCCTTTTTTTTTTTTTTTTTTTTTTTGGGTTTTTTGACTTGATTTACAGTTTCAAGCTTTAGCGCGCTTTGCGGTTAACTTTTCTTAAATTGATTTTTCTTGTTTCTAAAAGTTGCTTTTTTACTTCTCTTCACTTTACATCTCTGTCTGTCTTTCTGTCTGTCTGTCTGCCTGTCTGTCTGTCTGTCTGCCTGCCTGTCTGTCTGTCTGTCTGCCTGTCTGTCTGTCTGTCTGCCTGTCTGTCTGTCTATCTGCCTGCCTGTCTGTCTGTCTGTCTGTCTGTCTGTCTGTCTGTCTGTCTGTCTGTCTGTCTGTCTGTCTGTTTTGTGTTTTTTTTTGGTTATTTGTTTGGAGAAAATCCTATAAATGTTTTCATGTTAATAAGCAGAATGTAAAAGCTATGAAATGTATTTTTGTTGCTGATATTATAAACCACCATTTTTGCGTCGCGAAACTTTGTCGGCTTTAACATTAAGGATAATTCCTTTGTTAAGTTAGATCTCTCTTTTTGAAAACGTTTTTTTCCAAAAGGTGTCCTACACTTAGTGAATTCGTATTCCAATCAGTAGCTTCAAGCCTTTCATTTCTTGTGTTCTTGTTCTGCTTCTTGCTCTTTCCAGCGAACAGATCTTCTTGCGTTCTTCTTCGGTTTTGAAGCAAGTTCACTCGCTCGATAACCTGGCACATATCGCCGTAGATTCCAAGTGACTAAGCATCAAATCCATGTACTATACGCATGTTTCCGAATCCTTTGTGAGCTTTTTCTTTTCTTGTTTTAATCTAAGCTGTCTAGATTTGTGAGTTCTGTATATAAGGATTAGGACAATTATAAAGAATACGAAAAGTACGATGACTGAAGGAACGACTATCCAGGCTATTAAGGCCATGCGACGAAACCTTGAATCATCTGCAACTGAAACACAAGCATAGCTATTAGATTTTTAAATAATCAATCTCCCCGTTCCCGGAAATAATTCCTAAATTCAAGTAAATCAGGGCACAACTAATTCACAGATCAAACCCTGAAACAACCTCTGGGCTGATCTAAGTCAGGGCA